AGCTGTTTATCAATTGAAGGTTCTTCCTGCTGAGTCCGCAGCTGTTTATCAGTTGAAGAATCGTCCTGCTCAGCTGGCAGCTGTTTATCAGTTGAAGGTTTATTCTGATCAGTCGGCAGCTGTTTATCAATTGAAGGTTCTTCCTGCTGAGTCCGCAGCTGTTTATCAGTTGAAGAATCGTCCTGCTCAGCTGGCAGCTGTTTATCAGTTGAAGGTTTATTCTGCTCAGTCGGCAGCTGTTTATCAGTTGAAGAATCGTCCTGTTCAGTCAGCAACTGTTTATCAGTTGAAAGATTGTCCTGCACAGCTGGCAGCTGTTTATCCGTTAAAAGATCGTCCTGTACAGCTTGCAGCTGTTTATCAATTGAAGGTTCGTCCTGCTGAGTCCGAAGCTGTTTATCAGTTAAAGGATTGCCCTGCACAGCTGTCAGCTGTTTATCAGTTAAAGAATCGTCCTGTTCAGTTGGAAACTGTTTATCAGTTAAAGGATTGTCCTGCACAGCTGGCAGCTGTTTATCAGTTAAAGAATCATCCTGTTCAGTCAGCAACTGTTTATCAGTTAAAGGATTGCTCTGCACAGCTGGCAGCTGTTTATCAGTTGAAAGATCGTCCTGCACAGCTGGCAGCTGCTTATTAGTTGAAGGATCGTCCTGCTCAGCTATTCTGACACAATATGTAAGAACTGGATGTATTATAAGATTCTATAGTAAAGAAACACCATACTATATTATCCAGTTCACCCCTTTTTTACGTTTTAATTGGTTGTCATGCTCATTTGCTAGACCAATGATTTGGTAAGAAATTAAGACGTTGAACCCATGCTGTTTGACTGCGATATGTTAAAACTTTATCTGTTGTGGTATTGTTTGTTTTTTCATTCTGAACGGTGCCTTATGTGCACATGGAGAAATGATCACATCAAAGACCTCAAGGTTTAGGTTTAGCCAGTCTTAATTTTTAACCACTAACCAGAGGAAATTCAGTCAGTTACCAGCAATCGAATCACATAAGGGCGACCGCCACTGTAACGGGTCAAATGTGAAGTGCATTCAGTGGCGGCCTGAGCCTTAGATCTTTAGATTCACAGACCGTCATGTTAACCTCTAGTTAGCACTAGTCAATTTCTTATGGAATACACTCACTACGTCAAGAATCCGATAATATAATTTTAAATGATATTTTGATCGACAAGCAAATAGCTTATTGATGGAAAATACATTTTTTTTTTTACTTTTTTTTTTCAAGTTATATTCAAAATGCATCTTCAAATTTTTGTTTGTTTGTTTATTTGTAATTATGCACAAAGCTACACAATGGGCTATCTGTGTTCTGCCCACCACGGGTATCGAAACCGGTTTCTAGCGTTGTAAGTCCGCAGACATGCCGCTGTGTCACTGGGGGCGTTTTTATTTTTTTTCTCCGTTATTTTTTATCAAAATTGTAAGATAACATTCGAGTTAGAGACAAAACAACATTTACGTTTCACTTACAGTCGCTCGTTTTCGATCGAGTAACCTTTAAGCCTGAACCTCTATTCTCATTAAACAAATAAAACTTTTCCAAGAAAATATTATGGAGAACGAGTGTAAGGCTATCTTGATAAAGGTGGAATGAATCTCCCGTAGGCTGTTTAAAAACACCCACCCTATGCTCTCCTGGTTTCCATGGTAACTATGTCTTTAATAATATAGAGCTATGCATGAGCAACGGACTCTTGGATTTGTTGACAAGCTACTTTGAAAAGTGGTTGAAAACCAATGTATTTATAGAGAAATCGATAACCGAGTTTATTTATAGCGTTGATGTCGTCATAAAAGCAATAAAACTGTTTAACTAAGAAGCGAATAACCTTCATTATCTTTACCAGACTTTTCGTTTTTAAACTAAGTATATAAATTCGATTAAATTCGCTGCTTACTGGTTTGGTGTAAACTATTTACAGACTGATTTATTTTCTATAGTTTATCTTCAAATATAAAGTAAATCGGTTAAAGAGAAACTGTGATTTTTTCATTTCCTCGTCGTGAAGCGATAATATGAGAATCGCCATAAAAACTATGTTTATAACAATTTACTATCAACTTTTACCACGTACTTATTAACCGTAAATTAAATATAGTATGGGATAACTAATAACTATTAACTTTAGAACTTAAGTTACTGTACATATATTTTGTTGGGCGTGCATAAAAATTAGTTATTATATTAACTAGAATATGTACAACCAA